ACAACAACGACTACTACAACAACAACCCAAAAAGGTTGGTTACTGTCTATACTGTGCTGAAAAAGTTGTCCACCCTATTCAGACGAGGCGATTTTTGATTCAACACGAATTGTTATTTATATTAATGAAAATGTATTTAAATCGCAAAATTTTATGAATTGGCGTAAAATTGGTTAGCCAAGCGTTGGTAGAAGTGCTTTTAGCGAAGCTGAGAGATAAAATAAGAGTACAACAAAAAAAGTATGTATACAGAACAGTGTTGGCATTTTTGGTACAGTTTTACTTGTTTTATACAATTTCATTTACAATATACTTTCCTACTACGCAGTACTTTTTAGTACAATTTTGTAATGAATACTAAAAATATATAGCTCTGAAAATTCACAGCAAGAAATTTTTTGTATTCTCTTTTGTTCGCCTGTTCGTATTTACCTTTGCAAGTTTTGAAAAATGGCTTGAACGGACCAGTATAATATAGCCTAGGCAAATTTTTAAAGAAACTTTTCGATACTAAGTTTTATTAAAACAAAATGTCGAAGTCAGCTTCCTATAGAAAGTCTTCGTTAGTTATAAGAAGAGATTTTCTTAAATATAATACCTTTACGGCACTCACATATTGAAAAGATTTTACTATTTGTTATATTATTCTTTAATTTTAATTATCTGTTTATAAAATATAATGTATTCTTTAAGAAAAACTGTATGAACCCAAGATTAAATCTTTGCGAAACATCCAAAAACCAACATACTTTCGTAAAAATTTCGGGCTTTATTAATATTCTTTAGTTTTTAGCCCATTCCATTTTAGTATAATAAAGTGCAAGTTTAAAGCAGCTGGGACTTACCGTTGAACTTGGCAATTTTTTTTGTCGACGATGTCAGCCATTTTCTTCCATACGAAGTGTGTTCGACGATTTTTTTATATGGAGAAAATTAGCAACGCCTTCATGAAAGAAATCTTAAAAAACTTAGTTATATTAAAATTTAATGGGCTAAAAAACCGCACACTCAAAATAAATCTAGCAAATCGAATTAAAAAGCTCGAAATTTTTACGAAAGTGTGTTGGTTTTTCTAATGTTGCACAAAGTTTGAACATTGGATTTGTACGGCTTTTCTTAAAATATAAACCGTATTTTTACAAACAATAATTCAAATTGAATAATACTAAGATAAATGGTCAAATCTTAATGTAAAGTTTTGATAAGCACTTGAAATGCTATTAAAATGTCAAATTTTAGTACTGAATCCAAAGAAAATGTCTCTTTTATCCATTAATAATAACTTAAATATGCTTTTTGTTAAGATGTATACCTGAAAATGTGTGCATACATATTTGCGTTAAATGCAGTACATGTGCACGTGGAATCAATTTGTAAAAGTGTAAAATACGTAAACGTATGTACATAAACAATAAAACTTTCTCATGAATACCATAAAGTCATTGGTCTTGAAGGGAATGTACTTAGAAAATATCTGAGCGAAAAAAAGTTGAACGAGCTCGAAGTTGGCCGGCGACCAACTTTGTTGAAAGCGATTAGTTGAAAGGCGTTCGGACGAGGCGATTTTTACTTTCAACTAAAAGTTGCCTGAAAAATCGCCTTGTGCGAAAGCCCTATCAAAGTTTCGAGGATAATCGTAACAATTGGTGTCAGAAGTGGGATTGTTAAATAAATCCCGAAGGATAAACTTTTGAAAATGGCAAAAATTCAAGACCTAAAGATCGAGGATCTCAAACAGGAGTTGGAGGAGCGAAATTTAGCAACCTCCGGAAGAAAAGTGTAGTCACGGCTGCGACAGGATATGGAAGCAGAAGGAATCGACGTGGACAAATACGACTTCCAGGGTAAACTAGACGACGCATCCGCAAAGGACGAACAGAAGGATGAGGCTGCTTGTTCGTCGAAGGATGTGCAGCAGACATCAGGGAAGGTTGAAGAACAGCAAAAGGCTCCTTCGTCATCAACAGCTATGGACATGAACACGTTATTGGCTGCAATTTCATCACAGCTACAAGCACAAAAGTCGCAGTTGTCGTCAGATGTTTCATCGAAGATACAAGCGCTGGAGACACGTTTATCATCAGCGGTATCAGCACAGATGTCATCCCAATTGGAAGCACAGGACGCAAAGATTGCACAATTACAGGAAAAAATCGAAGAGAGACAGGACAGAGTCGAGGCTAAGATGGGCGAGTTGGAAGGTCGACTCTGAGACTTGCAGTTGAATCGTCCAGCTACTTCGACAAACGCTCCCAATGCAAAGACTCCATCCTTTGACGGCACTATTCCTTTCTAGGTATTTAAGCTCCAGTTTGAGAAGACAGTTACAGCGAATTACTGGAGCATGGAGGATAAATCCGCTGCTCTGTTCGTTGCATTAAAAGGACCTGCAGCGGAAATCTTGCAGACTATTCCTGACTGTGAAAGGAACAATTACGATGCATTGATGGGGGCCGTGGAAAGACGCTATGGTAGCGAGCACAGGCAACAGATCTACCAGATGGAGCTGGAGAATCGCTGCCGAAAATCCAACGAGACTCTACAGGAATTCGCTTCAGAGATTGAGAGGTTGGCTCACTTAGCTATTGGAAACGCATCTGGTGAAGACCTCGAAAGGGTAAAGATCCAGAGGTTCATCAACGGAATGCGGGACGTGTATACCAAGCGAGAGACGTACGCGAATCCAAAGCCAACATTTGCTGAAACCGTCTCACAAATTGGCCGGAAAGCATACAACCTCACTGTTGGTGGATGTGTGAATGCGCAGGAGAGGGTACTCACAGTGGATACTGGAGCGACACATTCCATTATTCGACCGGATTTGGCCACTTTTTATGTGGAGCAAAGCTGCGGACTGCAACTGGTGAACGCACCCAAGTGTTAGGAGAAGTACCATGCGAGGTAATAATCGACGGTGTGGCCTAGTACACTAAGTTTATAGTGGCAGACATTGTGGATGAAGTCATCATCGGCGTGGATTTCTTACTTGGCCAAGGCATGAAGATTGACCTCCAGAGAACGATCCTGACAGATCGTCACAGGAAAGTACTACTTAGGGATGGTTACGACAACCAGTGCTACAGCAGACGGTTGGTCTTAGAGGAAGTGCCGAAGATTCCACCAGAAACGGAAGTGGTTAGTTGGGCAGGGGTTGACAGTGATGGAGACGAAATGGTTTCGTCAGGAGAAGGAAGTGGTTCACCGATACAGGAAAAGCGTGACGGTTCCGCCAGCTCAGTGAAGAAGAGGTCGCAACAAGGAAGTGGTCAT